CTATACTACATAAAAAACAAAGAGGAAGATCAAAATTTTTTGATTATTCCATCATATTTTTGTTTTTATCCCTAAACTTTTGTTCTATCGTTACAACACCCATACCGAGATCGATGTTGTATAACAACGTTTTTATGTCTGAAGTATAATCATTCGCACCATCTATTAATAATAATTAATTGAATGGATGTGCCAGTTTCATTGAAGTAAAAATTACATTGAAATGTGATGAATTCTTCTTTACTTGGAACATTGTAATGAAACTGCTTAGTTTAATAAAGTGTTTAAGTAAAGATCTTGGTTCGTGTAACATTCTGTACAGGGAGGGCCAAAAAATGGATACCGAAGAATTTAGATTTCACGCATTGAATAAAAAATGTGTGTTATGAATACAAATAGTTTTCAACAAAGCAACTCAACGAATAACTCAAATCCAAACCAAACAACTTCAACAGCTGTAAGAACATAAAACTATTTTAACGGTTATATTAGAGGATCTTTCGATCAATGTACACTTTAGAAAATGACACACTTACAAATTATGTTAGACAAAAATAATATGAGGACTGTATTAAATAAAAAAATATTCTAGTTTAATCGTTAAGTAGATTAATACTCTTTTTATTCCAGATTTCCGTAGAAAACAATACTTTGATACTTTTAGGAATGATTCGATTTGAGAGGAATCCAAGCAGTTGTCTCCAGAAGATGAGATTAATTTATTTAGTTATAATATTATCTTTAGCCCCACTGGTTTCAAGCAAAAGTTCAAAAGATTGCAGAAAAAATAATGCGTATTTAATAGCCGATTTACAAAAGTTTTATAGAATTACCAGTAATGTGATTATATATAACGGTGATGAAAGTTAGTAACTTGAGTGTTTTAAAAGATTTTTCTTTTTAAATAATTCAAGAACTCTGTTTTTTTTATGATAGACACACTATTTGTTATGGATATCCTCAAAGATCTTTCGCATACGCAGCTCTACTCGATAGCTATTTCTGGATCGGACTTCGCTGAAAAATTTTCTAGGATGAAAATCTATTCAAGAACACTTTTCGTCAAACTCTTGAATAGTAAAAACGATTTTGAAAAGTTTGTCAATTTTTCGAGGGAAAACAGCTTATCCCCCCACGTCTGGCTTTTGCTTTTTCAGTCGGAGGATAGTCATCAGATTGACAGTATTTGCCGGAATCCCTTAGAAAATTATCTTGGCTTGAGTTTTGCAAGCGAAGTGTTAGTAAAATGTGGTGATGATTTCACTATAAAAGAGTGGTATTCTGTAGGACTACCAAATGAGTTACACATTCAGGAATTCCTGGAGTGGAGGAAAGGGACTCCGTTAATCGTCAAAAAACATCCAATATTGTTTGAGAGACGAAGGAACCTGACTGGCGTCGAAGCAACAGGTGATTTTGAGGTGCGGAACGAATGTGATAAATAATTTTTTCATCTTGTATGATTAAAAGTGTTTGTATGGAAAAAAAGTAAAGTTTGATTAATACTGTTTGTAGCGAGATTATTTTTCAGTAATCATGGAGGAGTTGGTATGGACATTGGGATTTGACTTGAAATATCAGAACAAGGTACATTCATTTATGAATAATAATGATAGTGAGAAAAATCTGACCTACGATTTAGGAAGGGAATCAAATGAGCACAGTATTGTTACTTCTGTTGTTACAACCAATGAAAAACGTTCTTTCGTGGACATAACGACTGATGTCTTGAAAATGCAAGATGTATTGATTTTCAAATCGGTTGATACCATGGATGTTCCTTGGCATGCATATTTAGAGGTAAATAGTTTCAAAATTTAGAATAAACCTTCTATTCACTCATCAAAAACTTATTTTTTATCAAACAGGTTTTAAACAAGTACGTTTGGGCTTTCTTGATCGTAGTTGTTATTTTTTCACCAGTGATATTTTTTTCAATGACAACAATCTTTGACAGTGAACCATATTCAAGATATAAATTATTAGATAGTTATATGCACGTGTGGAGAATTTTTTGTTCTCAGGGATTTCCAGGTAAAGTATTAGTTCTTGTACTAATCCAGTAACCATGACTGTGAAAAAGGGATGTTTAGGATGGTAAAATAATTCAGAAGTGAAATAATAAAGATTGTGTTTTTATACGATAATCTTTTGTACAGATACACCTTAACTTTATTTTTTGTAAAAAAAGTTAATGACTGTCCTTATAATAACTTTAATTGTACTTGAAAATATATAACTGGTATCTAAGATAATTGTGTAAAATTATACGTCAATCAACCACCTGGAAGCTAGCACGCAAATTATCGACTTACGCAATAAAAAAAATACTAGGCGACGTGTTTTTATCTGCACATTTCATTTATGCAAATAATTGGATCTGCACATGCCTCAATTTTGCATAAAAAAATAAAAAAATATTTGCGATTTGNATTAATTTGATGAAATCATCAAATTTAAAAAATTTTAAATTAACGTGATTATTGAATCTAAAAGATGTAATGAAAATAAGTATTGAATTAAAGTATCCATCTTATTAAGCTCTATCTCGCGGTGCGTATTTTTTTCTAAAGCCTATAGTATTATCTAGTTTTACGTTGAATCACTCGTTAAGATTTTGTATACTGGCAAAAAATTCTGTAGGTTCCAGTACTATAATTCAGATCTACAGAATAATTTCCTAAATATATTCCAATAATTTTAATAGTTCTTTTTAATAGTTGTTTATAGTACAAAAGTTTCTTGGAAATAGAATCTAATACCAAGTCATAACAACAGAACACATACTGGATCAGAGTGCCAGCGATAAGGTATCGGTGGTCGGCGCTGGTCGACAACCACAATTTTTCTCATATCCTCTAGCTTTGGTTCTTGATTTTCATTTGCAAGCCATTTCACGTGATGGAAACTCTTAAGGCACTACGAATCAACAGTGGTATTAAAGATGACTTATCGCTCACTCGTTATTAATTTTCCATGTACTTAAAAATATTGACGCCCTTTTTTGTCAATATCCAGGATAAATATTATCTTAAGAGAAAAAGAAAGTTTTATGAATTAAAATTTACTGTGTAACTTTGCTATAATGAAATGCTAACGTTCCTATTATGCTTTATCTTAAATGCCTACTGACTAGTTGGACTATATTGTGAAGAAGATATTTAAAACATAGAAAATGAAATTGTCGATACAAAAACATTAGAATTTTCTATACATATCTTATAGTTCGTTGGCTGAAGAAAAAAATCAAACTTTAATTTAAATTTATTGTTATGATTGTTACATTACAAACAATACTAACGAGTTTGTGGCGATTTTAAGAAATACCTGTCATGTTGGGGTTAATATTCTCTTTATCTAATCTTTCACAAGAAAAATCCCTATAAACTATTTGAAAAACAGAAAAAGTCTAAGTTTATTGCTAAAAATACTCAGCCATCGAGTTTTGATAATTTTTTGTCATCTTTGGTAAACAATTTGCATGTGTAATGTGCCAAAGAAAATATTTCCTAATCTATGACAAGCACAAAAAAGCATAGGCAATAATTATTATTTGGTTCATTTTTTCCTTTAAAAACAAGAATGTGCGTACCCTCGATCGATTGCTTCCAACACAAAAGAAGGACTGATTGATTTAAAGAACAGATTATGACACAAAGCTCGTGTGAAACGTACGCATGTCATGCACATACGAATAACTGGATACCTTATGAACGTGGCTACGAAGCTGATGGTGGAAAAAACAAGTGTCATGTACATTGTCCACAGCAATACGACAAAGAAAGTCCTTGGCTAAATTCTATAGTGTTGCTATTCCATACACTACGGTAGAGATGAGTCATCAGAGATAAAGGGTTTGGGACAACAAGTGGACACGATTATTCTTAAACACGTGGATAGTACTATTTGTATCCTTGACTTGAGAAGAAGGTATGTTGAAGGGAGTCCTTTTTTCTATTTGTATGATTTCTTTATCCTCGTGCGGAGGCAAAACGTTTATTTTTGACACTGGTGTTAATTTTATGAAATGTACAGATAGTGCAGTACAGTTATGGTATTAAAGATTGCCACTTCCACTGGTGTATTTTTTTCCTCCTAAAAAATGTTAATCGCTAAGATCTTTGTCAGAGTAGGCAACTTGATTCGGGTTATCATGTACATATGGATATATGGGATTCTTTTCTCATTGTTCGACACGTATAGTGGTTTTAACTATTTAAACATCCTAATTTTCTGATTTTATTACAAATTCAGTTGGGAAAACGCAATCTTTAACAACGACAGTTTTAAAACATAGACCTTCAAAGAAATGCAATTTAATATAACCTGGTCTTGTCTGCCTGATTTAAAAATTTTGTTGTCACAATTTAGGTACTTGTTGCCCGTCTTGAAATTGTCACCTCCTGTTTTAATCGCCGGAAATATTAATAATAAAAGTGGGAATTTGTGAGGGGTGCATTTGTTGTCATGTATGGTCACAGATTGGCGTGGATATTCTCCCACTCTAGGACCCTCTGGAGACCGAGTCTTATAAAATATAATTGAAAAATAAAATTGAATAGTGAAGCAAAAATTTTTTTGCGGTAAAAAGAATTTGCGGTGAAAAGAAGAATGAAGTATGAGATATGGCTAATCATGTGTATCCACTCATGTATATTTTTTATTTTCCGTGTGAATACATTATTCTCAGATTTTTGTATAAGAATCATGCTGAAACACGAATAAATACTGTAAATAATCTCATTAAAAAAAATTCATTGAAAAAAACGATATAAAAAAAAGTTGGAAAGAAAAACTTAGATTTTTTTCCTTAGTTATCAGGATCTAAAAAGAAAATATGTTCGGAACCATAACTTGACATCGAAAAGAATATAAGGAATATCGATATTTTTAGACGGGATTCCAACCTATGATACCTGAATTAACCCCACCAAGGAGGTAATTGTTTTTATTAGTAAATAGTAATTAAAGTATTTTGAAATACATGCACGAAAGTTCAATTTTATAAGTTATCAGTTTATTAGTTTACTTAAAAATTCCAAAAATTTAATTAGCGTACATTGTAAAATACAAGTATTAACTTGTCTAAATAAATAAGGCAATATTGAAAACTATCGCTGCTGTAGTTGAACTACTTGCAAAGTGATGCAATTGCATCGTATGATTTGTTGTGAAACTGACTTCTGGTTTGTTCAAAATAATTTATATAAAAACTTTTTTAGTGGTTTATCAACTTTCTGTAAAAATCACAAGTGCATTCTAGTTCGTTCCGTAATCTTGCAAACATTTTTTTTTAATTTTAATTTAATTAAAAGTTATTTTAAATAATTATTAAAATTTTTTTCTCAATCAGCAGTCATCCGGCAGATAGTTGTGCTTTCTGGAACATTATTAAAAGCAGTAGGATCATTAATCTAGAGATAGACGCACATCTGGATTGTTGGAGGCTAACTTGACGAGAGTCTTTTTTATTCGGAGAATAGGAAGGCGAGCGTCAGGTTTTGTGTGCCAGCACTCTTTCATCATTGACCCCATACCAGTTAAAGACTAAAAATTAAAAAAAAAATTATCATATCAGTAAGATGTTTCAATCTAATACCAAATCATTACAACAGAACACATACTGGATCAGAGTGCCAGCGATTAGGTATCGGTGGTCGGCGCTGGTCGACAACCACAATTTTTCTCATATCCTCTAGCGTTGGTTCTTGATTTCCGCTTGCAAGCCATTCAGAGTACGGAGCGGCATAATCGAAGGCAACGCCGTTACTCATGCATCTTCGACATATTTCCCAGAATACCAGTCCAAGGCTATAAATATCAGCGTGACGGAAACTTTCAAGGCACTCAGGATCAATCCTGCAATTGAAACAAAAAAAAAGAGAAAAGAAGAAAAGATGAATGGCTTCGACGAGAAAAATATTACTGACAAAAATATTTTAATTATACCTTTAAAAAATATCGAGCAGTAAGTTATGAGGACAAAAAGAGAGACTTTAAAATTATTAACAAGAGTTTTCAAACAATGGCAACATACATTGTATTTCCACCATTATAATACATAGATGACTTTGTATAATTTACTATGTATCAAATTAAAGGCTATTCAAACTTATTTATGACAAAAGAAAATTTTGACACCTAATTTTTATACTTTGGAAGTAAAATAAGTTAGATAAGTTGTAGTTTCATAATGTGAAATAAAAATTTTTGTTATATCAAATCCAAATTTATGTTAAATCAAATGTTTGTTATATGAAAATTTTTGTTGTATAATTGTGTTAAAAAAAAAACTTTGTAATTTTCATATTATATTTGAATTTACCGTGTAATGTACAATACATACTCAAAATATTCTGAACAGGATAGGTATAATAGTAAAAAAAAGAGAAACTTGTAAAACAAATTTGAGCATAATTTATTTAAACAAAGAGTACAATTTTACTTTTAAACATAATATACAATACGCGTTCTAATTGTCACGCTACCTATAAAAATCTGACTCAGATTGCTTTTATTAAGCGAAAAACAAATTAAGTTATAGTTGAACCAAAATTTTTCAATGTAACTGATTTTCATCGTATAAACAATATTTTATTATTCTATTTAAATATATAACTACCAAACCATTATTTTCTATTGGACCATTACTTTTGCTTTTTTTGAAATATTTTTCTTAATAANATTACCATTGTTTGTAATATCGTTATTTTCGGAGCAAAATGGAAGTACCTTTGGCCAAATCGTAGTCCATAAGGCAAGATAAAAAAAATAAGCTCTGGTACAGCATTAATACTCGCGACTGTACGTTAAATCTAATAATAAAAATTTTCATAAAAATTTGGAAAACTTAAATTTGTTTGTATTATTGTTACAGTCTATGAAGAATATAACTGTTTCAACATATAATTGTACAATAATTAGGGAAGAGTAAAGTCAAAAATATATTTTCCGCCCTCGGGTGGTTTTGGGTGGCTGGTACTTCCTCGGGCGAAAAAGCAGTTTTCCGGAACTCGTTCGAAAAGTGTTAATGACTGTCCTTATAATAACTTTAATTGTACTTGAAAATATATAACTGGTATCTAAGATAATTGTGTAAAATTATACGTTAATCATGTGTTTAAGCTTTCATTAGACCTAAAAAGCAGAAGTAAAGAATGTCTTATATCACTTGAAAATTATCTCTTGAGGCAAATCCAAGGACGTCAAGCATGAGATGGGAGGTTTTTTTACTTATTCCCTTTGGTCAGAAATTACTATCTTTTCAAAAATTTTAGTAATAGTTTATACTTGATTTTATCATTTTCTTTTATTTTTAAAATAATATCACACACTACACCTCAAGTTCAACGGTATAGGTACGTAATTAGACAGACGGTCAAAAAATTAATAAAAATGCAATAAAAGGTGTTTTTGTTGTATGCAAAAATTTTTGAAAGTGTTTGAGTACAAAAAAATACGTCATATCATGAAAAATAGCATGAATCTTGAGAAGCCCTGATAGGATGAGTTGTTTTTCAGAAAATTGAAAAAAAAATTAAATATTGACCCTATTTTTAAAGAAATTTAACACTTTCATTCTACACAATCTAAAGTACGTTTTAAAAATATCGGTTGTTTACGTACTGTAAAAATTGAAGGAATGCAGTATGATCTGTTGAAAAGAATGAGAAAAAACTTTGGTATGTCTCCAAGAGTTTTCCTATTTTCACTGACTTTGTTGCTTTCCCGATTGTGTTGTATCTCTTTTCTTCACATCAAATTCATTGTTAGCAATGTGATTATATATAACGGTGATGACAGTTAGTAACTTGTGTGTTTTTAAAGATATTTTTTAAAAATGATTTAAAAACTCTGTTTTTTTTATGACAGATACACAATTTGTTATGGANCGTCAGAGGGAAAAGACGAAGTCCGCGAAACGATAATACATGCACAACTTCCCTCAATGATAAGTAATTCTAATAAAGCATAAGTAACAACAAGTCACGCTTCTATTTATTCCCGCACCGAGAATCCCACGTAACACTATTAATGAGATAAATTTTTTTTTTTTAATTATTCAAATATAGCTTTCTTACCCTCGTGCTGTGTGAGTATTGTAAATAATAATTTAATTCAATTCTTGCCTCAAAAAATTAAATACACTAAAGTTATTTCATGAAGGGCAAATGAATCATATCAGTTTGTCATTTCAACTAAATAATTTGGTATAATGACGATATCCAAATTATGAATAATTATTCATACATACGAAGTTAACACAAAACTATAAGAAAATTTGTAAAAACAATTGTGACAAAATTATTTAAGTTATTATTATCATTACCATGTGAGTGAGGTGGATTCCTGAGACAATCTTTACAGTCTTAATAAAGATTATCACTGTAATTAAATATGAAGATGATACATAGTTTTTTGTACAGTTTTGCCATTTTACGGTTCTACCCCATCGAATTTGTAATGCAAATCATACAGTTGTACATATTTTACTTAGCGGGGCATCCATCTTTAATACAATATCTGCAGAAGCCAAATTTGATTGGCGAAACATCGTAGATTAGTATTTAATAAAAATGAATAATCAACAAATATTAAAATGAAAAAAAAACATGTCATTGCACGAACAACAGTAATGCAAAAGAATTTAAAAAATCAATCCTATTGCCCACCGAAAAATTTAGTGGCAATTTTTCAGAAAACTAAAGCCTCTTAGTGCTACAATTGTCACAGAGTTGGCCACTCAAGTCGTAACTGCTACCTCTCATGAGTTAAATGCGATTCGCAGTACGGTCGAGGACAATATAAAGATAGTATGATGAGTGAAAATATAGATTTTGCAAAAATTAAATTTTTTAGTTGCAGTGAGTAACATCCTGCTAATTTTATAGAGATTGCAAGTACCTCATGCTTGCGAAAATCTACCTAAGTGATAAAAAGAACTTGGAACTCAATAAAAAAGTTGAGAAAAGTATTTTTCTGCGTTCTCACCTAAAAGTTTAGTGGCAACTATTCAGAAAACATAAAGCCTCTCAATGCTACAATTGTTACAGTGTTGGCCACTCGACTCGTAAAAATAATAAATAATTTAAACTTTTTTTACACACATAGTGTCCTGAAGATAACAGTGATCCTATTGTTGAAATATTGACCTAGTTTCATCTGAAATTCGCAAATTTTTATGTTTACGTGTAAACAGGAGTCAGATGAGAAACTTATGATTACTAATATTTTCTGCTTGGCTGATAAAATCTGCTGCTACAGAGTGGTTTTTAAGAGTTAGCGAAAGCAAAGATGCATTATTACACATCGTTTTCTCGAGAGAAAAGCCGTACTCTCTCATTATTATAATTTTCCCAACATTTAATCATCAATTATGGATAGGTATTTCTATTACGCACATAACATATATTTTTAATCTTTCGTTTTAGGGCACACTTACCACTAGCTTTTGCTAGGAAAAAACTACTATTGACAAAAATCCATACATTTCAATATTAAATAAATTTTTTCCTTACATCTCACAGATACCAAAATAGTATATCACATGACTATAGTGGTTACGACTTTACTCCTGCTCTTAACAATACGAGGAAGAAAATAAGATTAGTTCCAAAAGTGTATGTAAACTTTGGTTTCAACTATGTAACGTATAATTTTTGGTGGAATTGCACTAATTACTTTTTAAAAATATAGATTTTTATGTAAGCCCCCCTCTTTTTTTCCCTTATCCTGTTACAAAATTCTGATAGGTCTCGGATGTGAGTACATGGTCAACTTACGTCTGTTCCAGCACTTCGGGGCTCATGTAGCGCCTGGAGCCCGGTTTGAGATCAAGTTTCTCCGTGAGTTTCTCCTGAGTGACAGCAAGACTGAGATCAGCAATGACGCATGTACCGTTTGCTTTCATCAACACGTTCTTGGATTTAATATTACGGTGAGCAATTGCTTGTTTGCCACGGGTACCGTACACACCAGTATGGAGATACAGCAGTCCGTATGCTATGCCCAGACACATGTGGAACATCTGATGGTGGGTTAGAGCTTGGGGCAGCTGTTAACAGAGACACACATTTTTATTAAACACTAAAATTATTCTACATCACCTTACATAGTGCTAACACGTATTATTTCATGTAGCATTATTTCCAATGCGTTTAAAAAATATATATTTTAAGACAAACTAATTATGTTGGATGCGCTTCTCGGGCTTTGATTATTTTGTTATTCGATTTGATTTATATTTACGAATATTTATCTATTTTGTTATTCAGTTTTAATATACAATCGAACAAAATAACTTTTCTACATTTTCTATCATGTCAAAAGTAAGAAATGGTAGTTTTCCTACGAGTTTGGAAAGTCTCTGTTTGCGAACCGAGAGGTTTGCGGCCCGAGCCGAAGGCGAGGGACGTAACGAGGTTCGTAAAGGAGACTTTTCGAACGAGTTCCGGAAAACTGCTTTTTCGCCCGAGGAAGTACCAGCCTCCCAAAACCACCCGAGGGCGGAAAATGTTATTTTTGCTGATATACATATAATGACGTTGTTGTTGTGATATCGATACTTACTGCCTATAGGCATGGTATTATTTCAACAACCACGTGAATTTGGAAAATTATGAAAATTAAAAAG